GTTTTAATCCTAGATCAACGATTTCCAGCTTTGTAACTTTGGGCAAATTCTCAAATTCTCTGTGGAGGTTATAAAATGATGCTAGACATGGTAACTCCCTCATGTTGCTGTTGTAAGGGCTAACACATGTAAAGCCTAAGCAAACTAGAATCATAATAAGGATTCAGTAAAATCCCCAAGAAAACTCTAGTGATGTTGGATTCTGCACTTATCCTTCTGTTCCTGCCATGAATTTAACATTTCTCTGTGAGCTTTGCTGGGGTCCAGGCACCAAAGGCTCACTTCTAGCAAAGAATTCTGAAAAATAATTGTTTACTTGTTTCTCTCCGATCAAACCCTAGGTTCCTTAAAGCCACAGGATGAAATACATCTTTTGTTTTTCCTAGTGGTCTGAGCAATATTTGACACATTATAGAAAGTTACCAAATATTTGTTAAATAAAAATGAATAAATATCATTTCCCCAGAACAGAACAGTTGCTGCAGAGCTGTTTTGAATGAATGGATACATTTATGAACCACATCTTGCTACAGCAGAAATGAGCTTCAGGCTGATTTGGGCAGTGTGAGACAATCAGACTGTGTAAGTTTATAATACAGTCTAAATACTATTTTAAAAAATTTTTATTTTCTTTTTTCCTTTCTTTCTTTTTTAACAGACTTTGTCAGTAAATTCCCAATTATATAATATATTTGCCCCATGTATGTTCCACATGTGATATTTTAATCACCACTGTACATAGATAACCAGTGAATTTTTTTTTTGTTTTTATTTTTTTGAGACAGAGTCTCACTCTGTTGCCCAGGCTGGAGTGCAGTGGCACGATCTCAGCTTGCTGCAACTTTTGCCTCCTGGGTTCAAGCAATTCTCCTGCCTCAGCCTCCTGAGTAGCTGGGATTACAGGCATGTGCCACCATGCCTGGCTAATTTCTGTATTTTTAGTAGAGATGGGGTTTCACCATATTGGCCAAGCTGGTCTTGAACTTCTGACCTCAAGTGATCCACCCTCCTTGGCCTCCCAAAGTGCTAGGATTACAGGCATGAGCCACCGCGCCTGGCCAACTAGTGATTTTTTAATAGTCACAGTAACTGATTATTCCCCCCTGAAAGATTCAAAACCTTGTTTGTATGCCATTATTATTGTAAACTATTTAATTCCAGTAACTATTTAATTTTGGTAATTTTGAATTGCCAAAAACATGAAGCAATCAGTTGAGTTTTGACATTGTGATAACATTGAGGGCAATATTTCTTTAGTGGATAATGTTTCTAAGAATAAAAGTGGCCCATTGTTTGCAGATGAAGGTTAGACAAAAATAAATGTGTTACTCAGAAGCCTTACAAAATGGATGCAATTCAGTTTGAATTGACTATTTGCCTAAGACACCACTATTGTCTATTAGGAACAAGAAGAGGAAAATTTGCAGAATTATTTCAGAGAATGTGTTTATTAGTTGTTCTTACTTAAAAGTATCTCACAACATCAGATGTGTTAGTAGAAAAAGTGCTGTGAAACTAAACGAAAGTACTCTCTTAATGCAAAGACAGATTTACTGTTTCTGGATCAAAAAATGTTTGGAAAAAAAGTACATTTCTAGCCAACACTTCCTAGGAATTCTTTATCATATAACTTTAATGCATTATAGGCACTTTAGAAGGCATTAAAATAAAGATAAGTACTATTATTTTAATATTCACTATGAGTTAACACAGAAGCTATGTGTTTTATACTATCCTTTTTTAATTTTTCAACATTTAAAAAATTAATTAATTCATTTACTTGTTTATGTATGTATTTATTCTAGGCCCTCTATTCCTTTTTTAAATTTAAATTTTATTTTTATTGACAAATAATAACTGTATATGTTTATGGAGTAAAACGTGATGTTTTGGTACATGTATACACTGCAGAATGATCAAGCTAATTAACATATCCGTTACCTCACATACTTGTCATTTCTTTGTGGTGAGAACATTTACAATCTACTTTTTGGCAATTTTGAACTACATAATTGACAAATAAAATTTGCATATATTTATGGTGCACTACATACCCACCGAGTAAATATTATGATCCCATTTTAGAGATCAGAAAATGGAGGCCAACAAAGCTGCCTGGATGACTGTCAACACTCAAACACTCTGGGGCATTGTATTTAAACATTTTCTGCAAAAGAAGTTTTGCTTATAAAGCACATAATGAATGTACTTAACAGAATCTTGTCCATTGAAGGAGAAAGAAGAAACTAAAGTTTAATGAATCAACTGTGTCTTCAGCAACGTGACCTTTGCTTGTACATTGAGCATCAAATGTAATTCTTTCCCTATTGTGGTGAAATAGAGAGAATTCTCCTGACTTTATACATGATGAGACAGCTTCATAAAGGTTAAACTAGTTGCCAGTGACAGGGGAAGCTGATTAACTTTTTTTATCTTGCCTTGCAGTATTATATTCAGGCTGTCTCCACAAATTAGTCAGTCAGATTGAAACCAGAAGACCTTTAGGGTGAATTAAAATGGTTGGCTTTTTGGATGATGACACAGCTCGTGTTTTTGAAGATCTTGTAGAACATCTATATTTGAGCTTTAAAATATACATTTTGGAATATTTGATGCATTTATTGTGGTATATTTATTTAAAAATATTTGCATATATATAAATTTATAAGTAAAATATTTACATATAATCCTTCAATAAATAATAAATTTATATGATATATAAATTTGGGTCATAAAACAAAGAAAGGCTTTACCCAGGTGTTTTAGAATTTGAATAAAAGTTCATTTTAATAACTGATATTTAATCTAGTATTATGCTATTAGCTATTTAAAATTTTAAATTCACCATAGCCAAACACTATGGCTCCAGTGAAAATAAAGATATACGGATAACGAAAATCTTCATAAAAACCTTATGAGAGCCACTTTCCTTTTTTGTGTCTCTTATGAGTTCTAAAATAACGAAATATTTAGTTAGAATACTTCACAGTACGATTAAAGAAAAAAAGATTAACAAGAAGCAAATAAAATCTATGATCATGACAGCTCAGAACCCATTGGAAAATCAGGCAATTCCCTTAAATTAAGATGGCAAATCCTGTAGTTAAATCAGGATTCATTTTAGAGTGTTGTCATTAAAAAGAAAAGATATCTAGAGGCCTGGAATATTTAGACCAATTCAGTTTCTATGATTATTATTTCTATTTTTTGGATATACTACATCATAGAATAGACACAGTTACTTTTTTCACTTCCTGAATGGCTACTAAGGGTCTATCCTCATTTTTCAAAAAGAAATGTTTCTTAAATTGAACAGATGTTTGCTTCCCTGATATTGCACCCAAAGTTCAAACCTAGCCAGAATATTTACTTTTAAAGTCACACCCTCTTCCTCTAAAAGCTTAAAGACACATTTATTAGGCAAATACTCAGAAAAGAAGTTAAATTATGATAAGTACGCAGACATATGAGCTCTGTGAGAATCACTAGGGCTTGACATCTCTAAAATCATGAAATAAAAACCACTATTCCACTCCATGTGCTTTAAGTCTCAGGATGATAAGAAAAATGTGTTTTCAATCTTTCCCAAAATGTATTCAGTTCAATATGAGAATAGATATGTCTCGTATTAATACTTAATTTTTAAATACTCATGAGCTCTATTAAAATTCTCTGGCAAAATACTACCATGCTTTCCTTCCAGTGGACTCTAACTCAAGATTTTGGCAGGGTCTGACTGATTAGCAGGCTTTTCCCTTCCCAATCACATTACTGAGCACACCCAAATGGAGCTCCGGGAACTCACTGTTTAAAAAAATTTTGCTTTACAAAGTATATTAAAGGCTTGTTTAGACTATCTAAAGGAGATATAACTCAAGGTAATGAAGTGTAATAGAGAAATGTGAAATATCTTTAAAACAAATTCACTTAATATGGAGTTATCTTCCCTATTCATAGCTATACACGAAAGCATGAAATTGAACAAATTTGTCACATAGCTCAAATCCACTTTTAAATTAAAGGAACTTTCCCATGTGTATGTTGCATATGCTCACTGAACCACTTCATGAATGGTCACATAAGCCACAGCTTAGTAACAACAACTTTCAGATATAAGTGGTATTCTCTTTCACTCATCACCATTTACAATTCCATCTTCATTCAGAGAAAGGCTGATTAGAGAAATACAGAAGATGACTTCAAGTTCCAAACTTTGAAGAGCTCTACTGAGGCTCACTAAAGATTCTGCTTGAAGGAAACAGGTGCAAGCGGAGGCATTCATTCGATAATTGTTAGGTGGATGGATGGATAGACAGATGTATGCCTTCTAAAGAATGACAGACTTGTAGATGTTCCCAAAGGTTAAATGGCTTCAGACATTCTAGTGGTATCAAAAATTTGTATCTCCACTGTCACAACGACACCCCAGAATTAATGTATCCTGCACAGGACTAAGCACAAGTGATCTTAATAAATAATTTTAATAACAATAATCCTGCCTCACTCATAATACTTGTTACAAATAGTCTGTCTGATTTTCTCTGCAACCCACAATTTCCTACCCCATTCCCTTTAAAAGGAAATAATAAATATTAGCTTAAAAATGGAAATCCTCCTGAAACTCTCTCAGCACGATGAACTAATTTTTAACATTGGCTCATATCTGTCCTATACATAGTTAAGTGTCTAACACCATAATACCAATAATTTATTCACGACAGTATCACAGATTTTATCTAAGGTTAAAAAGACAAAGACAGAAGAAATTAGAGCACTCTTTCAGAAAGACATTGTGGATTCACAAATTTCAGCTTATGAATAATTCTCTAGGTAGCAACATGAGAAAATTATCAACATAAATTCATAAATGATTCTAACCATAAAGTTCTTCTGCTGCTTTTTATACAGCAATCAAAGCACTGTAGAAAGCTATATTGAGTATTTACTTGCTCAAAGGAAATAAACTATTAACAATACCAGAGTGAGGAAGACATTCTTACCACCTTCTTTAGTGCAAAGGTTGACAAGGTTGTGGACTGTGTCCATCAGCTCCAGTTGCTGCTTCTGAAGTACACTATTGTTGGTGGTAGCTCTGTTTAATTGCTTTTCCAGCTCCTGGATTATATATGTTTGACGAGTAACCAAGCCTTGAAGGTTCTCTTTCTCTTCTTTTAAGGTGTCCAACTCTTCCTTGTGTTTTCCTTCCATTTCTAAGATTTTATGTTCTAATAAACTACAAGGAAGTGAAAATAAAACTTAGATTTGAAAAAATGTTATACAAAAAAACCTTTATAATTCAACTGGTTCCTGAATTTATTTCAGATGAAAAATTTTAATCAGGTGTTTCACTGTAAAAATACTTTTTAGTGAGAGACTTAAGAATATATATTCTTTAGAATAGGAGTTATACATATATAACATGTCAAATAAAAAATTATTAAACCAGATGTTGTCAGAGTAATGTTAGATTTTAACTATGATTTAGTTTCTTGGTTTCCTTGGGTATATCTTATATCCAAGGTAGCTAACTTACACCCGAAGAGCTATACTCTAAAGAAGTTATAGTATAACTTCACTAAGGAAATGGGCCTAAGAGGAAACAGAATAGTTCGGGAAAAAAATAAACAACATGTAGAAACTACTTTTTATTCACTTTGCTATATTCATTTGGGGTTTTCAAAACATTAGCATTGATTAAATTTCACAATAGTTCTATGGGATCAAGAATAGTATATTGACAATCTGAAAAATCGGAAATAAAGGGAAAAATATGAATCAGAAACACAAAGATTTATGTACAATGACATTAAGAGAGAAAAAACTCTTATTTTGAAACTGTTGAAAATAATATTTTTAATCATTTTCAGGATATTAGAAAATGCTCAAAATATAATGTTAGGTGAAAAAAGAAAAAACAGCAATATACATTCTCAATCACACACACACACAAAAAGAAAACTATATTGACACAGAAACCACAGGAGCCAAAAGTAATCCATCTAAAGTCACAATGAGTTCTTGTGATTTTTGATAACTGGTCCTGTATCATAACCACTAGCTTCCTTTATTTCTCAGCTAAAGCTTCAGGATGAGGCTTAATGACACTACAGGTCCCCAAGTTACTGTATAAATGGTAACAAAAGGAAGACTCCATTGGGCTGATGGTACGGTCTTCAGAAAGGAGTTGGGATGCTTTGCTCAGTGTGTTGCAATCTTTAACTGAGGCCCTTCCTTCTCCCTGAGCTCTTTACAGGATATTCCCCTGGTATACTGCACATTAAAGATGATAGAGAAAGCAGAAGCATTCTTGGAGCCTAGCAACTGACTGGAATAAAAAGCATTAACATTTTATGGAGTGTCTAATATACTAGTATTCCTCAGGGAAAAGGCTTACTCAGTTTTCTCAGCTCTGTTTTCAGAAGGTTCAACCCGTCCTTAGTTTACAAGGTGTTACTAAAATGCCACATACCAGAATGGGCACTTAATTTACCTTGGAGAAATACAGCACTGAATCATTCCTTTCAAAAAGGGGACACTAGGGAGTGTTTTAGATTCAATAGCTAAATTATTAAATGGAGCATGTTGGAAGAGCCAAATCTTCCAACACCAGGTACTGGGGGACAAATTGTAACATCTGATTGTCCTTTACACAGATTAACAAGTGTGGGCCCAAGGGTTAAATGGCATAAAAGACTGTGAGGGAATGGAGAGAAGTCCATGTGGCAGAAGCTGTGCCATCCTGGCAGCTGTCAGAAACCTTGTGGATGGGCTGAATATGGCAGAGCATGTTAGATGGTGATGATGATGTCAATCATACTAGTCATGATACCTCTCATTTATGACACGGTTGCTGTGTGTCAGCTATTGTTTTTTGTTTTTTGTTTTTGAGATGGAATCTTGCTCTGTCGTCCAGGCTGGAGTGCAGTGGCGCAATCTCCACTCACTGCAAATTCCGCCTCCCGGGTTCACGCCATTCTCCTGCCTCAGCCTCCAGAGTAGCTGGGACTACAGGCACCCACCACCACGCCCGGCTGATTCTTTGTATTTTTAGTAGCGACGGGGTTTCGCCGTGTTAGCCAGTATAGTCTCCATCTCCTGACCTCGTGATCCGCCCGCCTCTGCCTCCCAAAGTGCTGGGATTACAGGTGTGAGCCACCGCACCCGGCCGGTGTCAGGTACTGTTTTAAGTAGTTGTTATGAGTTCAATTATGGCCTGCCCATGTTTGCCCCCAAACAATAAAAAAAATGTGTTGAAGTCCCAACCTCCAGGAACTAAAGAATGTAGACTTATTTAGAAACAGAGTCGTTGCAGATGTAATTAGTTAAGATGAGGTCATCCTGGAGGAGGATGAGCTTCTAATCCACTATGGTTGGTATCCTTATAAAAAGGGAAAATGTTGAGAGGCAGATCAGATGTGCGCACAGGGAAAAGGTTGTGTAAAGATTGGAGTAATGCTGCCTCAAGCCAAGGAACTACCAGCAGGTAGGAGAGAGGCCTGGAATGGAGCCTTCCCTAGCGCCTTCAGAGGGAGCCTAGCTCTGCAGGCACCTTGATCCTTGATCTGGGACTTTCAGTCTTCAGAATATTCAGAGAATGTATTTCCATTGTTTAAAAGAAGAGGAAGAAGAAAAAGGTGTGGCCAGAACTACTCCTGGGCATTCCAAATCTTTGCCAACAAACTTGTACTCCAAGAATATGGCAGGAAAGCTGCCTGTGAAGTCAAGCCCAAAAAAAATACCTGGAGGCTTCTAAGACTGTAGTGTGCACAGATTCACATACGAAAGTTTCTCCTTGAGTCCCATGAGCAGAAACTGTGTGACTTCTGCAGTAGAAGAAAAGTCCCATTTCTTTTTTGAATTGCTTTCATTCTACCGACACCGAGAAAGGAGCCCTGCCCTGTACTGATCATAAAGTAAACCCAATTTAGATAGAGTATGAGTACAGTAATATAGGGAAACTGTGATGATCACCTTTTTTTTTTTTAATTCTTTTGGAAATGAAAAACTTAGGCAAGGAAAGCAGCTTAAGATGAAAAACAACATCTTTAAGGGGTAGGTATGAATCATCTTCTTTTATCATACATTTTTTCTTTGTCACTAACTTTTTGTTGGAGAAGTTCGTGGTAAAACACAAACAAAAACCAAAAACTTCTCCATTGTCTTTATTGGTTAAAAGTTTCATCCCACCTACTGGTTAAGTGATTAGTGTACTTGCTGTAGGCGTCAAAGGAGATCTTCTCTGTGCCCATTAATTTTTGGCCTTCAGAACTGAGAATTAACCACAACCAGTGTCTTAGCTCATTCTCTGTTTACTTTTTATTTACTTTTCTTGCTACTCCTGGGGTAATGATCAGAGGCAAGATGCCCATAATTTAGAGTTGCTAACTTATAAGAAAATTGTCTTTTAAATTCATAGGCATTATAGTCTACTAGTGAGAAAACTTAGCATTACCTATTAAACTGACAAGCATGTATGTATCAAAATTTGAAAGTTATAGTCATATAATACTGGATAAAATTTCTGAATTGCCATTTTTTCCTTGAAATAAGATGAGCACTGGCCTTTCAGTTTTCCCAATCAGTAGGTAACATTTTTGTTTGGAAAATATCATGTTATAGTTATAATTTGTATTTATTAGGTGTTAAGTGCCAATACTTCTGTAAAATATAAAATGACACTATTCCTACTGTAGGGTTTGTTTTTAGAGAATAAAAACCTCAAATGAAAATGCAGAAGCTATAAGAAACTTCTGTTTCAAACATAATACTTTTTAAAAAAATTTTTGCATCGGTGTTTTTCTACTGTTTATTTTTGATGTATTCCTTGTTCAAGAGGACATATGCGCAGAGATGGCTACTATCTGAGATGCCAGTAAAGGAGGGGGGCTTGTTTCATTTGTTTTGTTTTTCAGGATCATTTGGAAAGAGCTGAGGATGGAAAGTTGATCAAAGAAATCCTGGTACCAAAGGAAACAATTCTGAACACTGGCTTATGGAAAAGATCTGCTTTTCTGAGTAAAAGGAATAGATAATATGTATAATATATAATATAATGTACATTAGCATGTTAGACAGAACATTAATTTTCATAATTCATCAAACAACCTTTAATGCTCCCTTACTAGCATGTATCAAAAGATACCAATTTAGTTTGTCATCTTAGAATAGATAGTACATGCAACGTGAAAAAGAGACTGTCCATGAAACTAAGAAGCCTAATCTACATCACAGACATTCCAAAGGATTTGGAAACCCGAGTAATATGCATAACAACTACAAGCAAATTGGAAACATGTTACATTGTTTCTCTAATGGCTGGTCTTACCAGTTAATTATCTCTTCTCCTCATTTTCTCATCACATTTCTTCACTCGGAGTGCCCTTAATAACATCTGTACTTCAGTAATTATCTACTAACTTTATTTATTAGGGACATTTTTCATATTAATGACAACTTTTTAGACTTCTTCAGGCAAGAGTGATCTCTTCTTGACCCTTCCATTTCTTTTGACTACATTCATCCCTTTTTTCATCTTCTCTTCATATTTGGCTTCCAAAAGACTGCTCTCTTCTCTGATTCCTCCCATCTATTGGCTAGTATCTACTTTGGAAGTCAGCCCTTCCTTGCCATTACTTCCAAAATGGTTTCAATGCAAACCTCACTTGCCAGAAAACTCTATATACCATCTCTACTTATTATCTTATTCTTGTAACACACCGTTGTAGTTATGTTACATTTTAAAACCTTTACCTCCTTTGATTCTTAAAGCAATATAGTAACATAGACTGAGCAGATGCTACACACCCTCATGAATAGGTATGAATCAAATGTTTTCTTCAAAATCATGCAGATATGAAGTGCCAGAATCAGGATAAAAAGCCATGTCTTCTAAGTTGTTAGACTGGGAATCTACTCAAGACATCCCACTGCTGTCTCAATGAACATCCTATAGTCTCATCTCTTTAACTTAATACACTGTAATCTCCTCCTATTTCTTTTATTCATCATGCTATACCAGGAACCAAGGCACTACCTTCACATCTCTTTGGTATTTGCTGCTTTCCATTTAGTTATTCTGGGAGCTTATCTTTCACAATATTTGAACCTGTTTATCTTTCCCACATATAAAAACAGAATTACTTTGTCAAGCCAATTTTTAACATCTGGACTAGAATGTTCTTAAATACTACCCTGTCTTAACACCTCTTCCATTATAGTTATTTGTTAATTTTA